TACATTAAAAAGGGTTTTAAAAAATTCACATTTTTTTTAATTTTTTAAAAATTACAAAAGAGAAAAAGAGTTTTTAAAACCGTCTAAGGTATGTTAAATAGATGAATAAAAATATAAATATAAAACTTACAGCTACTTGTTACAAATCCAAATCAGATTCAGAAGATGAACTTTCAGAACCAAGATTTATAATAACTGGCTCGATCATTTTATCAGTAATATTGTCCAGCTTCCACATTTTTTCCTCTTCTTTAATAGTGTGATTTACTGCCTTTTTCCAGTTTTCAGGTTTTACATTATTTACGGCCTCCAAAAACAACTGTTTAACATCATGAATTTTAAAAGTGGTATTTTTTCTTGAAACTTTACTCTTTATCTGTGCCCATACCAGTTCAATCGGGTTTAATTCACAATGATATGGTGGGGATCTAAGTACTGTCATTCCACGATTTTTGGCAATTTCATCAATTTCGTATTTTTTAAATTTTTCTTTATGAAGGGCACACAACGAATAAAGTTCCTTTCTTATAGATCCGGGATGGTACGTAATATTTTTTGAACTCAGCCAATTCTGCAAGTCTTTTTTTAACCACTTGGTTGTGGGCAGTCCTTCTATAAGTCTGGAGTGATAACTTGCATTATCCATAACTATTACACAGTTCTTAGAAAAAAGATCTATCATTTGTTCGAACCATTCTTGAAAGGCATCAGCGTTCATGTCTTCATGGTAGTCACCGGTACGAGTTGATTCAAAAGTTAATAAACCACCTTCAACAAAACCGTCTGAACTGCCAATGTGTACTATTATCAGCCTGCGTCCCTTTCCTGATGGTGGGTTTAAACCAGTAGATAAGTTATTTACAAAAGCGTGCCTTTGACTTGTAACAGTTTCATCCTGCCAAAATTTATTTGGTGTATGACCCTCCTTGATCCATGTTTCATCAAGATAAAATATTTTTCTTTTTTGGTTTCTCATTTCCTTTATGGTTCTTAGAAAATGTCTTCTCCATATGACAATATCGCTTCTTTCTAATAAAATAGACTTTCTGGGATTCTTTTTCCAGCGGAAGCCTATTTCTTTTAAAAGTTTCCATAACGTACTTCGACTCATTTCTGGGTAATCCTTATCATCTCGAACTGAGACAAGAACTTTATCCAATGTTGGAAATTCTTGTCTAAAGAAGAATTCATGCACTTTCCATCGAAGTCCTTCTTTAAAATGATATTCTATTTGAAATTTTGGTTTCCCTGGAGCATTACGTGGCATTTGAAAACTACCTTATTTCTCTTCTTTAATAACTCTATGAATCGTAGATTTCCCAACACCAAGTGTACTGCTAACTAACTCAACGGTCTCATCAACACTTTCACATAAACGTTTGTCTGTAAATGATTTAAAACAATTAAATATTAATGTTTTTTCATTAACTGTTAAAGGACCAATTTTTCGGCGTTTACACGGCACTTCCAAATTTTCCATAACACTAGTATACACAATAAACTGCACCTTGCAACTGAAGAATTGTTAAGAACTGTTAAGAATTTTGAATACGCCACTTGGACCTTCCTACAAAATGGAAAAACCCACTATCACATTTTCTGTGGAATAAGTTTAGAAGGTAATTATCTAGTCAATTACTGTCGTAGATTCCTGGAATTAAAGAATTAAATGTTTGATTGTTGAAACCCTTACTTCGTGGAATGCACTTATTTCAGATAAAATAAAACGTTTTATTTTATCTAAAGAATTAAACTTTATTTTGCAAATATGTAGGTACTTATTAAACTTTTATTGGTTATATATAACCAATAAAATAAACATCTTACATTTCTTGCAAATTCATTAGTACCTGTTAACCTCCATCACTCCGACACTGGCAACCTTATTTAGGGATTAGTAACCCTCACAAGTATTGTATTCTATTCTGCTCCAACCTTTATACCTGGTGGTCATACTCAATTTAAAATTGTTTTCCTATATACTTCTGTAAACTTGTTGACAAATATCTGTTTTTCATTGAGTCACCCGTATCAACAGTTTAGGGATTTGCATACATAATTTATTGTTTTATTACTCTCTCATACATAAAAATACACTATAGTTTGTATCTATTCCGTGCTCGCTGTGGCATTTTAAGTTAAGGTTACCTCTTACTTTGAGCTTTATCACCTACATATAAATCTTTTTGTCCCATTCCTACCATGACACCTGGTATCCAAAAATGAAGAGAATACAGCACGGGGTGCGTCATCCCACCAAAACCAGCTTTGCACATAGCGGATCCATTGTCTACGGCTAAAGAGGCAACTTCTTTTTCACGCATGTTGATTGGTTAGTATTTGATTTCTATGTAAATTAATGTTAAAAAACAAGTTATTCTAAAGGACAGCACTGAAACTGCTGTAGTAAGCACTAAATAGCACTAGACTGGAATGGACCAAAAACAATGACCATCGATCATCATGATCATTCTAGCTTACAACGATTTTGATTTCTATCCTCCTCAAAAATCTCTCTGCGTCACTCGCCTTTCTCCGCCCAGGGAATTTTTCCATATTTCTCGTGCTTTTATTGACGTTTCTTGATTTGTTTCTCGGTCTTCCTCTTCTTCTGTAATCAAATGAGCATTTTTTCTCGGTCCTAGCTCTTTCATTGCTTTGAACATTTCTCTTCTATATACAGAGTCATAAGCTGCCTTATAGTCTATAAATAAGGTAAGTTTAACAAAGAAACTAATATTTGCTGGAATTAAGAATCTAGTTACGATCTCACTTCATTGCTATATTTAAATTATAAATCACATATTACCACTCATCTTTGTTTCGCTTTTATATTTATATAGCTCAACAGGTCCTAGACGTCCATAGCTTGGCATCTTTCCACTTTTCCACTGGTTTCTTCATTTTCTACTGTCCATTGGTCGCAGTTCTCTAATTTGGTATCCTGATTATCTGTAGGTCTTCCTTACATGCTTCTAGCTACTTTTTTGATGGTCGTCCTCTTCGCTTTTTTTCCTTTCTTAGCTTACTCATCTTCCATCTATCATTCTCTCAAGATGGCCTAATGACCTTAGTTTTTTCCTGACGATCTGGCGAATTTCTGGTTTTACCTACAGTTCTCTTATCTCTGCATTTGTTGGTCCCCTCCAATCGTTTTTATAGTCCTTTACTCCCCCAAATGTCTTTCTTAACACTCCGTTTTCGTTAGCAGAAATATGCTAAACCGTATGTTCAGCATGTTTTTTTGATTTTTTGTTCATAATCCATATTTTACTTCCAGACATAACCGTGGGTTAGATGACTAACCCACGTTTTTTGCGCTCCTTTCTCTCGAAAATTGCTTCTTGTTGTTTATTTATTTCTTCTTTAGGTTTACTCCTAGATACTCAATCTTCGTCACCTTTTTGAATCAATATTCTTTAACTACCATTGCTATATATTTTGTTTTTTGCTCATTAATAATTATTCGATAACGTTTAGCCTTCGCTTTAGAGTTCTAAATTCCTCAGCAGTTTCCCTTTAGTTCTTGTCATTAACATTATACCATCTGCAAAGTCCAGGACCTGGTTTCTGTTATCATAAATCAGAGATTTCGTTCGTTTTCCACTCCCCTCTTTCTCTTTCTCTCTCTCTCTTTCTCTCTCAGAATCTTAAGCTTGTTTGAAATATATAAAGAGGAGGTTTAGCATTAACTGTTGCTCGTACGTACTTCTTTAAATCATTTGTAATACGAATACTTGTTCTGTGGTGGTCTGCTCCTTTTTAGTCATCCCTGATATTCACCAACCTGTTCGTTTCAGTTCCTTTTCAGTCTACTTCTTATGAATCTGGCGAGTGCCTTACTCGTTACATCTAGAAGAGTGATATCCCTGTAATCTTCACACACTGCTTTATCTTTCTTTTTATGAATGTGATATACTATGACCTCTTTCCATAAATCCGGTATTTCCTCTCGCTCCCAGATTTTCGCCAGCAGCCTGCATATCCTTGTTATGTTTTTCTCCCCCTTGCTTAATTAGTTCTGCAAGAATACCATTATTCATTGAGCAGTTTTCTGAAATGTGCTCACTAGCTTCCTCCTATTAGATACCCTTCTTTACTCTAGTATTAATTCTGTTTTTTGTGCCTTGATCACTGCTCCTTTTCAAATCCTGGTAGAAGTTCCTCACATTTTTGTTACATGTAATATTCTTCAATATCTTTAAGCTTTGATTCAAATGCTTCCTTTTTTCCTCATACTTACTTTTTTCACGTATCTTCTCTCTGCTTTCATTATCATTTCTATTTTGGTCACTAGATTTATCCATATATTTTAATCTTATCTCGTTTTGTTTGTTGAGGCTTTTCTTGCAATCGGCAATAAACCATTTATTATCTCCCCCTTCTTTACTTGACCCAACTATTTTTGAGCTGCTTCCTTCATAGCTTCTTCTCTTATTTCCCACTCCATTTCGATGTCACCTTGATTTTTTGCTTTTAAGTCGTTTTTTCTGTCACGTCCGGCTGAAAGTTGTCAGCGGTATCTTTGTGCCTTAGTTTGGCGACGTCATATTTTTTATACGATATTCTCTATTCTCTTATCTATGAGATAGTTTCTCTAATCTCTTGAGCTTTAGTGTATGATCGGAATACGCCTCTTCTCCTCTAAAACTAAAAGATTTGTTATTTGTTTCGCTTTTGGAACACATAAAACCAAAAAAAGTAAATTTTTTTCAAATATAAACTAAGTACAAGCTGTTTTAACGTAAATAGAACTTTTAAAAAAGCTCTTAAATCTACTGGTAATACATTAGATTCGAGTCGATCCATGTCTTATTTTACAGTTAATAATAAAAGGTAAGATATTTAGACGAACAACAGTTGGTAGAAAACAAGCATCATGGCTTGCGACTGTACAAATATCCTCAGTGTCGAGCAACTCTTAAACTTTACGAAAAATCTCTAGAATGATTGTCAAAATGTCTTTTGTATAGATTTCTAAATATATATCTTTGTTACAGGGCGAAAGACGAGAGCAACACTTCACACCAGGCAGATTTACTCCTATCAAATTGCCCGAAGGACCACCGTTGGAAGGAGTTGCTCATTTGCTAGACTTTCCAAGACATAGATTAAGACTACTGGAAAAACTCGGAGAGGGAGACTTTGGAATGGTAAGTTCCATCTATCCATACATTATCAGGCAGTTCTCTATTCCCCGTTTCTTGTTCTAAAAGATTAAATTATAATTATATTAAAAAGTCTTCTAAAAGAAGAAGAAACTTTTTTAAAGATCTAGAATTTTGTACGGAAAAAAATCCGCCGAGTGTGACCAAGGCTTTACAGCCCTTTTTCCGATTATAAAGATACATGTAATATTAACGAGCGGTTCCCAAAGTTCGTTCCTTATTGATTCCTAATTTTTTGGTCGCTCGCCGGTACAAATTGTTTTCGTGTTCATCTGAGCACGAAGGAGAAAGAATAAACAAAATAAAAAAAATGGAGAAAGCAATCTGAAAACGTAGTTTGCCGCCTTTATGTTTCATATTGCTTCATAACACTTACAATGAGAATCTCAGCGTGCGACACAATGGCCTTTTTTAGTTTGTCTTTTTTTGTATTAACGCAGTGGATTGTGGTCTCGGGACGGGCTGTTGAGGACTAACTGTTGGTGCATTAAACGTGTGCTTTAACTCCTTTATTGCATTTAGTAGTTAGTACGATCCATTAAGTGTAGAGCAAAATATTAATTTGAAAATAGTGTTTAAATAAATATTTAAAACTATTCGGAAATATAGTTTTTATATAAAATAGTTATGAAAAAGAATTTCGTATTCTCTATAATCTAATACTAATAATAATAATAACCATAATGTTTTTTTATTTTATTTATCGGCATCAACCAGTGGAATTTTTAGCGCTGTTTCATAACAGATGCATCCGTAGTAGAGTTTGCTTTTTATTAATGTCTGATATAAATTTAGGAGAATTTTAGTATCTGAAGCCCATCTATGATTGGATAAAACTCTTAGAAAGTTTATTTCTTTGTTGACAGGATGTGATCAAATTGTTGATATGTGAAATCCATGTGAGTTGTGAGTTGTGAGTCAAATATTACACCCAAAAATTTGATTCCGCGGACTTGTTTCAGAGAATGACCAAATAGATACAGACTGTATTCTGCTCTTCTTTTGTCAAACATTGTTACTTTAGTCTTCTAAGTTGAAACAGTTAAACGAGTCTCTATATTTCTAAGCTGTTTAATGTTCTCTGTAAAATTTGCGTAGCTAATTCTATATTTTTACTTTTAACATATATTACTAGATCGTTAGCAAAAAGATTAGCTTTTACGGGAAGCTTTATGTGGTTTGTTATATTATTTATTGCGATTAAGAATAATAGTGGACTTACGGCCGATCCTTGAGGAATTCCGTTATGGAGTGTTTTCTTGATATCCTGTTTTGACGAAAGTTTTTGGTGAAAGCATGAAAAACTGGAAAGAAAAACTGGAAAGTCTATTTTCCAGTTTTTCATAATTTTGAGGATATAATGCGTTCATGTTGTGTTGAAAGCTTTTTTGATGTCAAAATTTTTTATAAATGCTTTATGAATTTCGGATTCTAGTGCAACAATGTTATCAGCTGTTGATCTGTCTGAACGGTATTCGCTTTGTATTGGAGTAAAAAGTTTTTTCTTTTCCTTGTGCCATTTCAGTCTTTTACTCAATATTCTCTCCACTGCTTTACAAATGTTACTGGTGAGAGATATGAGAGATATTGGACGATAGGAGGATGGGAAGTTTTTTTGTTTGTTTATTTTTAAAAAAGGAAATATAATTGCTTGACGTCATATTGAAGGAAACGTTTTATTTGTATAAATATTGTTAAAGATGCCAACTAAAATTTTGTTTACTGTTTTAGTTAGTTTCTCAATCAATATTGTTGGAATATCATCAGATCCTAAAGAAGTTTTTTTTAGCATTGCCTAGGCTTTTGTTTAAATCATCTAGTGTAATCGGTATATTGAGAAGGCATAAAATATCTTCTATTTTGATTTGTGACAATACGGTTTTTTTCTTTGTGTTTTAAGAATGTAGAGTTGTATTGATCACTGCTCGAATATTGTTGATAGTGATCAGCTAAGATTTCTACAATTTCTAGTTTATCTAAAGTAATTAAGTTATCTCTAGCAATGGTGTTGATATGATTAATTTTGGTTGAGCTTTTTATTTTCCTTATTTTCTGCCAAATATCACTTATTGGTGTAGATGAATTTATTAATGAGACATAATTGGCCCAGCTTTCTTTTTTAAATTTTTTGATTAGAAATCTGGATCTATCTCTTAACGCTGTAAATATATCTTAGTTAGTTTCGGAATTGTGTTTTTTTTCATTATATTAAAGGAGTGTTTTGTTTGTTTCAAAGAAGTTTCTATTTCGATATTACATCAGGGTAGAGGTAATTTTTAGGTAGCTTTACACATCTTTACATCTTTATACATCTTTACACGTCGTTAAACATCATTAGTTTAACACATTATTTTTAAAAAATTTTTGCCCCCTATCACTTTTTTCAAAAAACAGTTACGTACCTTTTCATTAACCTTTAAAAAATTACGTGCAACTAAATAAATGGCTTAAATGAATTAACAAGTACAAAAAATGTATTTAACCTCTATAAATATGATATTACAATAAGTGTTCAAAATTGCGCCTATTTTCTTCAATAAACATTCGGTATTGTTTTAATAAGGAAAACCGAATTCGCAGAAAAATCATATTTTTCTGAAGAAATTAATTGGCAGCTTCAATTATTCTAACCCTCAATTGTTGTTCGTCCTCTATTTTTACAGAATACACTTTCTCTTTCATAAACCCCCAAAAGCAAAAGTCTATGGGGTTAAGACCTGGACTTCTTGGTGGCCAAGAAATAGGTGCATCACGACCTCTTCCAATTTACCGACCAGGATACTGCCTGCAAAGGTATTCCCGGACTTCATTGCTGTAATACGGTGGAGCGCCATCTTGTAGAAACCACATATTTTGCCTTATTGCAATATTCACTTCTTCCAAATACTCTTGTAAATAGTTTGAAAAGAAGAAAGAAATACTGGGCCTATTAGATTGTTATCTACAATTCCTGCCCAAACAATAACTTTGAAAGTCCTTTGGTGATGATTCGTTTTTTGGCGTGAATATTTTCGTCGGCCTAAATGTGCTCGTTAGGATGGTTTCCATTTCATTTCTACTGAAGGCAATCTCGTCGGTTAACAAAATATTTCTAATAAAATTGACATGTCGAGTGTTTTCCATTAACAAACAATTACAAAATTCAATCCTTTTAGGATAATCTTCAACCAATAACTTTTGAACCGTTGTTAAGTGATAGTATTTAAGCAACTGATCTTTCAAACGCCTCCAAACCCTTACGTGAGAAACATTTAGTTGAGCAGCTATTACCCTTGTACTTGTTCCAGGGACTTCTTCAATGATTTCTAAAATGTCTTCCGTTGCATAATGAATGCAAATCAGTTGCATTCATTATTGGACTACCACTATTGCCAGCAACTTGCGGTTGGAATGTACCCGTTTCCCGTAAACGACGATCAATGGTCAGTACAATATTCCCGATAGTTTATTGATATCGTAATTTAATCTGATCTTAAATTTCTTCTTCTTCAAGTGCCATCCGCGCTACGGAGTTTGGCAATCTTCATTGCTATTTGTATCTTTGAAGCTGTTGCTTTAAATAATATGGTTAATGCTTAGATATGCACTGGAACCAGTCTCTTAAATTGCGCAGATAAGATATACGTCGTCTACCCACGCTTCGTTTCCCCTAAATCTTTCCTTGGATAATTACCTGGAGCAATCGGTACTTTTTCCCTCTTATCACATGACCAAGATATTCCAACTTTCTTCTCTTGATGGTGGTCAACAGCTCCCGTTCTTTGTTCATTCTTCGAAGAACTACAATATTTGTTATTTTGTTTGCCCAAGGTATTTTTAAAATTCTTCTATATATCCACATTTCGAAGGCCTCTAGCTTATCGGTGTTGCTCTTTAAAGTCCAAGACTCTACTCCGTACAGCAGTATCGAAAAGATGTGGCATCTAGCCAACTTACTCAAAGTTAAATGCATATCTGCAATTTCCTGAAATGTGTAGGCCATTGTACTATTAAAATCTTTAATATTAATCTTATTCACACAATAAATGATAGCTTCAAATTATTGACTATTATTGATGGAACTGTTTGTAATTATTGTAGCCGTAGAAACTAATTATTTTAATTTTATGGCCAACTGGGAAAAAACAAGATTTTCGAAAAAGTGATAATAGGCAAAAAAGTTTTAAAAATAATGTGTTAAACTAATGATGCCACAAAATTCATTTGATTTGAACGTACTTAAAAGTTTGGAGGGATTTAGGACTGCACACCCTCCTTAAAAAAATTTTATGCGCTTAGATTTTGTTGTTTCTTTGTATGAAAAATGCGTCCATTTTTATTACAAAATGTCAAGTAGTTTGGAAGATAATGCAAAAAAACAATTTTTATTTTGTAAATTCAAAGGGCTGTAACTTTTTTTGTGTACACTTTTGTACTAAGGTAAGTTGGATTCAATCAATTAATTTTTGTCCTCGGAATGTGTGATTTAATTTATGACATACCTTTTTGAAACACCCTGTATAATACAATCATAACAGTAGGTCACAAAAAAATCGTCTTACCCATAAACTATCGTATATCATTACGGATTTATGAGCCATTTTAATCAAAATCAGTTGAAAAACCACAGCAAATATTTTCCTATCGGCCGTTTATTGTTCCCAAACTACATTTTTGTGTCTTTCATTGATTAAATCCATTTTTCATGAGCTAACAGCACGATAAGAAGTGCCTCTCCTTCAATAACGGGACATTAATCTTCAATTTTCGATATTAATTCTTTCTGTCCTCTTCTAGATGAAAGGACTCGTTCAAGTCCGACAAAATCGCTCTCTATAGCTATTACATTTATTGCTTTTTTACTGCGGCCTTTCTCTTCGAAGTGCTCTCGAGGATATTTGTTTCACTTTTGTCCGATTGACAATTTTTAGCAACATTAGTAATTAGTGATAATTGCTTGGGCGTATACTCAATATTTGTACTAGTAGCGGGTAGTCAAAAAGTAA